AAGGGTAGGTGGAAGGAGGTGGGGGAGGAATGGGGTACGAGCCTCCGATGGGGAGGACTGGGCTGGCTCTGCGGGCGTCTGGGGGTGGAAGCTCTCCTGCAGCCCCCCGATTGCCCCATCCCCTGTTGAAACTGATCAGTTTCAGCAGCGGCTGAATCTGGACGCCAGTTCCGACTTACATACAGATTCAACTTAAGAACAAACCTACAGTCCCTATCTTGTACGTAACCCGGGGACTGCCTGTACTGCCTCTGATACAGAGCCTGCAGTGCAGGGTGGCAGCCAGCACCTGGGTCCTGGTTCCATTCGTAGGGAGCTGGCTGCGAGTATCCTATTTGGATGTAATGTAAATTGATTTTTTTACCAAATTAAATTACATGCAAATTATTCTTAATGTGTTAAGTTCCAAACACAGATTTGTATCATATAAAATAGTCAGTGGAGTTGTATTGATTCCCATTTGTATGCAGTCACACAAGGAAGGCTGGAAGAAGTCTGTAGACTCTTTTGGTCTGGGAAGGAGAGTCATCCAAGAATGAAATGTATTGTCTCATTTTCCAGACAGAAGCTCGTATGATGTGCATGGTACTCCTCTCCCCCTCTGGGCTGGGGAGTGCAGAGCTGCTTATGGGTCCATTCTGCTGGCTGTTTCTACTAGACCACTAGTGTAGCTATTGCTAACATTTTCAGTCTCCCTTCCTTTTCTCGTTTTTCCCCCTCTTCATCTCTCTAGTTTTCTTCTCTCCTCTGTTTTGATCCATTTCCTCTTTGTTGCTTCCTTGTCCTTTTTATGCCCAGAATAGTTCATTTGTAATGGCTTTTGTACATAAGGCCTGTTCCTGAGCAGTGCTGACCAGCCTAATTTATTGTTGAAGTCTTTTGTGTAATGAATATTGCCTTTCATTGTTAATATATTTCAAGGCTTTGTTTACACTGAGGGTGTTAGATAGCGTGTAATTGAATAGTCATTTAACCACATCAGATGTTAGCGGTTACATGACTATTTGACAGTCCCCAGGGGTGGGGCTGGCAACCAGTGTGCTCCGGCCCCAGTCCCTCTATCAGAAGCAGCAGCACAGGCTCTCTCCACACATATCTGCAGGCAGTCTCTCCGCATGTATCCGTCCCACTTGTCCCCCCCCATAGAGGCAGCAGTGGGGGCAGGCAAGAGCCAATGCTTAGGGTGGAAGCGGGGGCAGGGAAGCAGCCTCTGTCTGAGGCGGTGGGGGGGGGGCAGGTCCCACAGGCAGCTCCATGGAGCTGGTGTTTGGGAGGAGATGGCTGTTAAGCCAGCTCCCCTTCCCTCCCTGAACTCTGGCTCCTGCCTGTCCCCCTCTACTGCTCTGTAGGAAGCAGTGGAGGGAGGGCAGGCGGGAACAGATGTGTTGAGAGACTCCTTGCGTGTATCTGTTCTTGCCTGTCCCCCTCGCCTCCACGCTGTTGCCTCTATCAGAGACAGCAGCATGGATGGAGGAGGGCAGGCAGATGCAGTGCTTGTGGGAAGCCATCTTAAAAGTCAGCTTCCCATGGACACCAGCTCTGCCTCCCCGGCTCCACCCGCTACCTCTGATACAGAGGCAGCAAGTGGGAGAGGGGGATGTGTGCAGGCCACAGGATTAACTGATAAGCCCAGGTTTGTTGGTTAATCGTGTAGTCATCTACACATTGACATTCCTGGTCTACACTAGCACATTCCTAGTCTACACTAGTGGAAAAAACACTCCTTTGACTTATGAGTTTTGCTGATAAAAGTACTGGTGTGAACAGCGCTATGTTGGCAAGAGAGCGTTTCCTGTCCATTTAGCTTACACTATTTATTGTGGGTGGTTTAATTATGCTGGCAGAAGAGCTCTTACCTGCTGGCATGGAGAGGCTACATAGGAGACATTACAGTGCTTTAAGGTCTATAGTGTAAACATAGCCTAAATTTCTCATTGATTGTGATTTCCAATTTAGTAAAAATTACTATAAATATTAAAGCCTTTGTTTTTTTCTGATCAGTTTGCTTTCTCTTTGCAGAAAAGATACAGTTTGGCAGTAGGCCCTCCCAAAAAAGATCCAAGAGTCAAGGGTGTCCAATCTAAAGCAGTACAAGCTTTTCTGAGACGGAAAGAAGAAGAAATTAGGCAAAAAGGTACCTGTTAAAGTTGTTCAGAGTATTCCTATTGGAGATTGACTCTGTTACATTTTTACGCTACTCCTTATGCGCCTTTGAGTTATTATTATTATAGATCCCCACTCTTGGAATGTCCTTACATAACTGCCGCAGAATCAGAACCCTTGTAAAGCAGTGATCCTAAAGACTGAACACATTCTTCTTTGTGAATCTAAATGTTTGCTCAACAGCATTTCTGCAATTACTGTCAAAGCAGCCAGAAATGAACTAATAAGCATGGAGCAGGAGAGGACACAGGAAAATAGTCTGAACTTTTGTATAACTTTTAATGTTGGAAAAAGCTTATTTAGCCATGTCTGATGGTGACAGAAAGCTGGGCTTCCTGTCTTTACATCATAACATCATGCCTTTAAAAATTAGATATGTTAACCATATTTGGATTAATCTTAAATCTTTCTTGACTATACATTCTATTCAGACCATTGGTGTTTTAAAGCTGGGTATATGTTCCCTCTAGTTCATGGGTGGGCAAAAGGGTCTCTGCAGGCTGGATCCGGCCCACCAAGCAGGTTGATCAGTCCGCTGAGACCCTGCTGCTCCCCTGTCCCCAGGTCAATTAGGGCCTGGGGGCAGGGGAGCAAACAAAGCTTCCTTCTGTCCTGTGATCAGCACACAGCGCTTTGAAGTGCCGCACACTGCTTGCAGGGCAGGAGGAGAGGTCACGTGCTCCCCTGCCCCCAAATCGTGATTGTCCTGGGGGGCAGGAGGAGCATGCAAAGTTTCCTCCGCCCTCCCCCTGGCCCTGCGAGGAGTGCATGGCACTTTGAAGTGCTGCATGCTCCTTTCAGGGCAGGAGGAGGCTTCGCGTGCTTCTCCTGCCCCCAGGCCTATCAGGGCTTAGGGGCGGGGGAGCTGCGTGAAGCTTCCTTCGCCCTGTCCTGGTCCTATAAGGAGTGCATGGCACTTCAAAGTGCCAAGCACTGCTCGCAGTGGGGGAGAAGGCTTCGTGCTTCTCCAGGCCAATCAGGGCCTGGGGGTGGGGGAGTGTGTGTAGCCTCGTCTCGCCCCGCCAGGGGCATGGGTGCTTAGTGGGAAGAGGGGGGGGCAAAGGGGCTTCACCACCCCCAGACCAACTATGGTCTGGGGGTGAGGAAGCCCAGAAGCATTCTGGACCTGCCCCTTCTGGATTAGGCCCCTCCCCTTCTGGCCCTACCCCGGACCACTTAAAAAATTATGGCCCACCTCTGCTCTAGTTGTATGCAAACTGAACTGTAGCTATGTTCTTCATAATATTTACTTAACTCTCCTGGAATTCATTATCTCTAAAATTTTAGATTAGAAAAACCTTAGACTGAAAAATCTTTTCCTCATATTCTTTTACAGAACTAGCGGCAAAAAGGAAGAAGGAGGAACTTCTAGCTAAGCGTGTTGAACTGAAACATGACCGCAAAGCAAGAGCTATGGCCTCACGGACAAAGGACAACTTTTATGGCTATAATGGTATTCCTATTGAGGAGAAGCCTAAAAAAAGGCAGACTTCTGAAAATGTCAGTCGATGCACAGATGCAGAATATGGGACAGAAGATGATGCAGAGCAATTTGAATATAGTCAGACTGAATCTGAGCATGAACCAGAGGAATATGAAGAGAAACCTTCCAAAGCTCCTGTGAAACCAAAGGCACCTCCCAAAAGTGCTCCTAACCCTATGAACTTTATGGATCTTCTGAGACTGGCTGAAAAAAAACAGTACGAACCAGTAGAAATAAAAGTAGTGAAAAAGACTGAAGAAAGGCCAAGAACAGCAGAAGAATTGAGAGAGAGAGAATTTTTGGAGAGGAAAAACAAAAAGGAGGAAACCCAGAAAGAGAAAAAAAAACTTGACAAAGAGATTAAGAATGTAACTGCATCAAGTTCAACCAAAAAAATTATTTCTCATAAAGAGTTTATAAATGCAAAACTTAGCAAAAATTCAGTGGATAAACATTCCTCTTCAAAAGGCAGCTTCTCCTCTGTGTGTGGTGCTGATAAGAAATCCAGTGGGCCAGTGTGTAGCGACAAACATGCAAAGTCATCATCTTCCTCCAAATCCAATCAAGTGGAAAAAGCAAAAGTTACACAATATGGATCTTTAAAAAGCTCATCTAGTGGCATCCATAGTAAATCTTCAGTCAATGGAGTAGGAAAATTTGGGTCAAACTCTCATACATTAAGCTCAAAAACACCTTCTGATGGGGCTCAGAGAGTACAGTCTGCTAAAGAACTTAGTCTGAAAAAATCTAGTTCTAGCCACCCAAAACTGAGTAGTGCAGCACCCCCCCACCATGAAATTGCTAAAAACTCCAGCTCAGGGAGGCCAGGGAGCATTACAGGAACGGGTGGGCCCGGGCGGCCGGGGAGCAGTATGGGACCTGGGCGGCCTGGGAGTAGTACGGGGACCAGTGGGCCTGGGAGTGGTGCGGGGACAGCTGGGCCCGGGCGGCCTGGGAGGGGGGCGGGGACAGCTGGGCAGCACCCCCCCACCATGAAATTGCTAAAAACTCCAGCTCAGGGAGGCCAGGGAGCATTACAGGAACGGGTGGGCCCGGGCGGCCGGGGAGCAGTATGGGACCTGGGCGGCCTGGGAGTAGTACGGGGACCAGTGGGCCTGGGAGTGGTGCGGGGACAGCTGGGCCCGGGCGGCCTGGGAGGGGGGCGGGGACAGCTGGGCCCGGGCGTCCAGGGAGCGGTGCGGGGACAGGTGGGTCTGGGCGGCCGGGGAGTGGTGCGGGAACAGGCGGGCCCGGGCGGCCGGGGAGTGGTGCGGGGACAGGCGGCCCTGGGC